AACGAGTGCTTATGGAGTAGCTGTGGAGTAGAGATCATCGTCTTCGATTCCGGAAGCAAGATGGTAGATGCAGCAGACTTGTTCGAGTATGGCTTGACGGTCGAATTTGCCAATGCTCGCAACATTGGTGAAGATGAAAGCAATGGTGGAATGGAATGGTCGTGGATTGTCGACGGAATTCGGAGTGGGTTGCCGTCTCCGTTGTGAGGTTTTTGGTGACCGACCTCGATCGATGCAGCTTCCTCAGAACACAACGAGGCTGGATCAGAATCTCCCTCGACGCTAAGAGCCAAGTCACAGTGTAACTGAGCAAGGTCACTGCGGATGTCGGCGAGTACAGGAGTCATAACCTTGTGAATGGCGATGAGTGTAGAATCTAGAGCTGCGTGGATCGCATCACGAATCGCAGCACGCATCGAAGCTTCAAATGAGTCGATTGCAGCAGAAAGGCGTGCATCCATGGCAGGAAGACGGGTCAGGTGGGTGTGCACAAGAGGGAAACCAGGATTCGAGAAGGATGGTACCATTGATAATACCCAATTCTTAATTCCCTTAATCAACTTGCAAGTCGCACAAGAAAGCTATGGAAGAAGAGGGAAGGAGCAGAGCTCCAAATATTTTTTGTATTTAATTTCTTTGTTGTAAATTCTGATGTGCCACATTATAGGAAGCTGGGCTCCTTTTATACAGACTCTACTCTTTAAAATGCCAGCTAGCATATTTAACAATTCTTAACAATTCAAATTAAAGAATAAACCTCAATTACATTGTGGGTTCATAACAGGTTGCAGGGAACTTTGGTCTTCCAATTTTAGGGTTTTACTGCGACTTTGCAAGCCCTTTTTAGGTGAGGTATATAATTTATCTCTTTGCTCTTAAATTTATTTTTTATTAGAGTTTTTTTATTGTTTGTGGTTCAATTTTTGCCTGAAAATACCACGATTTTTCCCTCAAAATTCAAAAAAAAAAGAAAAAAAAGAAAAAGAAAAAAAAAGAGGAATGGGCATGTTTAGTTTTTGGGTTTTGCCTTTGATATTTACGTTATTTGCTGTGGGTGAACAATTTTTTATTTCTTTTAGTGTTTTTAAAAGCCCTGAGTTTTGTGAGAAATAGATACGGATAGCCATGATTAATTTTTTAGTTTACTTTGACAGTTTCCTTTGTTATGTGGGTGAACCAAATTTTATTTTTTATTTGCTTAAAAGCCCAAGGATTAGTGAGGAATGGATATGCCTAGGACAGTAGTTGGTCCAATGTGTTTGTCAGTGTGGTTGAAGTTGTGTTAGCTTCATTTTATAGCTTCAGGACCATGGCTTTATATGTTATTCAAAAAGCTAAAAAAAGGGATGATTTGATAAATATAAATACAGGAAAAAGGAGAACATTTTTTAATTTAGAGGGTTTTGTTTATGTGTTTGGATCCTGGGTGTAACTGGATAAGTTGGTTTTCTTTTCATTTTGAGGAAATAGCAGTTTAGTGGTGCTTCGGTTCAATCTGTTTTCAAATATATTGTTTTGTGAAGTGATGAGGCAATCAGATTTCTGGACTTGATGAAATTGTTTGGTGCGATGCTCTTTCTTTGTTTGTATTAATTGAGTTTATAATGTATTTAAAGCCTGGATTATAGATTTGTTTTCTGTATTGAATGTCAAATTATTGGTGTATAGATACAAAAAAATGATTTAGTGTATGTATTTTTGTAACATCCCACATCGCCTAGTTGTGTGGATCATGTAAGCTTTATATGTATATTCTCATCTCTACCTAGCACGAGGCTTTTTGGGAGCTCACTGGCTTTGGATTCCTTAGGAACTCCAAAGTTAAGCTCGTTCACACAAGAGCAATCCCATGATGGGTATCGTGCTACGGCGGAGTCTAGCTTGGGATGTGGTGGGAGCCCGGGCTGGGATGTGACATTTTTTTTGTATGTTTGTGGAGTCTTTGAAAGGTTTAAGACATCGATAGATTTTTGGTTTGTCGTTCTGGGGTGTGATGGCTACCGTGGCATATAAGAGATTGAAGGGTTTTAATGAATTTGATAATTAAGAATGGTCAGTTAGCAATCTACATAAGAAAATTGTTAATAAATAGGTTAATGAGTTCTCCATTCCATTTTATTATTGGCTGTCATGTTTTTGTTTGGCTTTTGTGTATGGTATGATTGGTATGTGAGATTGCGTTTTCTGAATTAATTTTATTTTATTTCTGTGTATGGTGCAAGAAAATTATGAACCAAGAAACTCTAATCTTTTAGTTTTAAATTTTCCTTCTGTGAAGACAAAAATATAAGTGCAGGTGTATAAACTCAATTTATTCACATGAAGAATTTTCTACAGTGCAAATAGTTAGTGCTATGAACAAGAAGAAATCGTAAGTATGGTATAATAATTTCTATTAAAAAACTACAAATGACAAATTGTCACAAGACTATAGTAAAGTATGATGACTTCGTTCCCAGTTTAGTGTTCTTTTTATGCGTTGTCTTTGCTTTCGTAAATTGATAGTTGTTGTTGATAAAACTGATTTGGCTTTGCAGATCGGATTTTTTAACCGACAAAATTAAGCTGCAAATTCAATTGAGGTATGAATGCTTCCACTTATTTAGCTTATTCAATTGATGTTTTCGTTCACTGGATTTAATTTTTGCATGTTGTTTGATAAAACTAATTTGGTTTTGTAGATTAAGATTTTTAAGCAAGAAAATCAAGTTGAAAGTTCAATTGAGGTGTGAATGTTTCCATTCATTTAGGCTGTTCAATTCATCTTTACCATTACTGGATTTTTTTTTTAAATGTTGTTTGGTGCATTGTTGTTTAATTTAATTGTAATTTTGTCAATTTTAAGTGGTTGTTTGGATTTTGAGCAGTGAGAATGATGTGGTAGGTTTTCAGGAGAATAAGATAAGTTTAGAATTTTTTCTGCTTCTCTGTGCATGGTTCTACCTGCTCTTTGTATATGTTTCTTAGTTGTTTGCATTTATTTTTTTTCTTTCGTTTTTACTCAGTTTTTTGGACTTTTTCTACATGTTTTGCTTCTTCTGTATGTTTTCCAATTGTTTGAATTTACTTTTTCTTTTCAGTTTGACTCAATTTGTTCTCTTTTTGTGCATTCGTTAATCTATTTGTTATATGTGATGGTTAAAGCTTTGGTTTCTTATTTTTTTCTTTCTCTTGTTTTTTTTTATCGATTCTCTCTTCAAGGTGGATTAATATTGTGGTTTACCAGTGTTAGTTAATTTATGTGACAAGTTATTTTGCACTGTTATTTGTTATAATTAGACTTTCAGTTTGTTTATTTTTTACTTTTATAAATCCTCTGTGTTAAGTGTTTAAATTAGATTTATGCTAATGTGTATAAATTTGACAGTCAAGTTTATCAACAATTGATATGCTGCTAAACTATTATACAACATCCTAACTATCATTGTACAATTATAATCTGATTCAATTGTGTTTTTTCCATGAGAATAGTTGTATGCTGTAAAAGAACAATTGTCCAAAGTTTCTTAAACCTATGATTGTTGAAATTCAAACTTGGCAACAAGATAACTTTTTCATTATATACATACCAAATAGTAATAAACTAGAAGAAAAGATAGGATCCAATACCTATTAATTCTCAATTCTTTGATCAGAATTCCTCTTAATCTCAGTTTCTCAATTCTTCATACCAAATTGTTTATGTTTAGCATAAAATAGATAATGATGCATGATAATGGATTACAAATTGTTTTTTATTTATTCAAATTTAGTTTTTACTCTTTCATCCTACACATATGACTCCATTTTCCCATCCATGTCAACTAATAATAACATATTATTTATTAACTGCCATAAAACGTTTTTTTTAACACTTTGTTTTACAATTTTAGGAAACAAAAAAACAAAATTGCTAACTCAGCAACGAACTTACAACGTTGACAAATACGTTTTCAAGCAATGACGACACAAACATTCAAAGGTACGTAAAATTAATTATTACTTTATTAATTTTGTTTTATTGACATTTTACATTTAATTTCAATTTTTACTAAGCTTTCTATTTAGGGGAATTAGCTAATACTAATATATATACAAACTATCTTCTTTTCACATGATCTAAATACATGACAAACTACCTGCTTGCATATTGAAGGGTTAGATTGAATACCCAAAAGTATAAAAGTAGACATTTGCACAAAATATATACCCTCTCCACATATTTTAATCTAATATGTTCTTTCACAGATTTAGAAAATATGGACAGAGCATATCTTTAGTGGAACAATGGCTTTTTATACTTTTGAATGTTGGCCTTAAACCTTTCACTAGACAAACAAATAATTAGCAATGTATTCACAGTAAGTTAGAAGAAGAAAGTATGTGTACAAATTGGTAATAGTTAATTCCTCTAAAGAGAAAAGACGGAAATGATGGTTCTTACTCTAGATAATCAAAACTGAGTTTATCAATTTACATAAATTTGAACCGTCTTAGAATGACATTTAATTTTGTTTTAAAAATTATATTATTGGCAAATAAACTTCTATTTAACGATAGCATGATTTGCAAGACTTTTGAAACTCTTATATAACGCTATCACTAAATATATTTTATTGCATGACACACCAATTTCCATCTTTGTTGTACTAAATTGCAACAAATTTATCTTTTTTGATATTGGTCAAACTAAGACAATGAATACGCGTTCTCCAAATTCTCTACCCAGGTATGTATCCAATTTCACTTGATCTCTATTTCTCAATGCATTTGTTTGTATAAATTAATATAACATTAGTCAAAACTCCAAAACTTAGAAATTATGTTGAATCTATTTTTATTAATTTTTTAGTTGTTATTACCTACGAACTTTCTTATCCCGCAGCAACGCGCGGGCACCACTTCCTAATGAATTACTATATACTAAAACCCAGCAAAAACACTGTTCACCGATAGTGTTTTAACTGTTTTGCCCCTACTTCAGTGTATATTATTTTTTTTTTAATTTGAACAGCTACATAACTAAAATGCCCTTTGGTAATATGTTTCATTCCGTTCTGTTCCCTTCGTTTTTCCTTTTCCTTTCTTTCTCCTTCCTTTCTCTCCTAACTTCCTCTCTCATCGCAACTCACTCTGGTTCTTCAGACTAATTTCTGTTGAATTTAGGCACAACGTAGCTCGAGATCACCACCAAACTATTTCTATTGAACTAAGGTACATTTAGAACAATTACATGTGAATTTTATCTCGATTTTTGTGTTGATTCCAACGAAACCTTGACGACTTCGTTTTCCGACGAGTTGTAGGGGTTTGGCAAAGCTTTTCCGACCAAATCTTTGGATTGCAGTTGGGTGTGTTTGCTTTCACCCTTATTCCTTCCGCCTCTATATAATATTTAAGTCGTCTAGGTTTTATTGCTTTCCCCCTTTCTTATTTAGTCATCTAGGTTTTATTGATTTGATTGTATTTCGTAAAATTAAGGGGGTTTTGTATATTTTTTTGGTGTCATTTGGTTGATTTGTAAATTTGGTCGGTTCAATTTTCTCAAATTCCATTGACTTCTTTGTTGGCTTTCACTACCTGCTTTAAATTTTAATTATATTCACAGGATTATAAGTACATAGTTAGAGATCACATGTTTTCTTGGCTTCCAAAGTGAAGGGAAAGAAATTACTTACCATATGTGGGAGGAGATGCACCGGGATTTCTTGTTAATTACAAGTAAATACTAGTATTATTATTGGTTGTTCTGGTATGATTTCTGAATTGATGATTTTAAATCAGATTTCGTTTAACTATATATTATAGTACATACTAGTATGTAGTTTTAAACTATATATGGTTGGTCAAGGAGAAGCAATGACAAGTCTTGGTTTTCGAAGGGGATGTGTTACTTGTGATGGCAGCTCTTCAGTAGGACGGTCAACAGGATCACTCGCCGTTCGGAAATATTCTAAATGATACTCGCTTGATGATTCAGGCATTGACCCAACGGAATGTTGGTTTTAGCGGTAGGGAGACGAATAAAGTGGCACACAGATTAGCACGAATGAGTCTGAGTTGTGATAATTCTATTCTTTTGTTTGAAGAACCTCTTGATGTAATTGTGGATCTTCTCTTTGAGGATAGTAATTCCTGGTTTGTTTGGTGCAGGACATTCTTTTTCCTTTTGACCAGGTTGAAATTCCCAGCAAGGTTTTATCGAGACCCATTGTATGCACCCTATCCTCATTGATTGTATGTATTTCTATCGATAATGAATATAGTACATTTTCTCAAACAAATTGTATATGGTTTCCAAAAGGGAGATTAATATGTTCAAATGATTTTGACTAAATAAATGACTATGATCCACTCACACTTTGTTTTTGGACCTAGTGAGAACAAGGCAACGTTTGAGACCAAGAGGGCTTGGCAGCAGTGCGGACTTCCTACTGTGTAGCGTGACTCAAATTTTCTTTGTTTATCTTTTTCTTTTTTTTTTTTTTTTGGTAATAATGCATGATAACTCCGTCTATGTAAGTTTATCTTACATTGCCGGTCCCAGGCCCGGATAAAGGAGGAGGGGAGGGCGTCAGGTAGTCGACAGCCGGCACTCCACAGTTACGTCGAATCCTTATGACAATGAATCCAGAACGAAATCGCGCTAAAGCTAGGACGTCACCAGTAAGTGGCGCGCTGTGTGGCCCGAGCACAGTGATAAGTGAGCAAGGGTTGCTGTATCTCCATCGGCACCCGGATGCAGTGTTAAATAAGCAAGGGGGCCATAGAAACTTCTTTTCGAACGACTCCACTCAAAGTTGTTTGGGAGCATATGCTCCTATCAACTTTACACAGAACACACAAAAGAAGTACTTTGATCCTATTAGACGGGGGATGGTGAAGAAGCTAGGACAGAAGGGTAGAGTTCAAGAGAGTAGAATGCGTTTAGGAACGTGGAATATAGGAACCTTAACGGGAAAGTCTATGGAAGTAGTGGAAGTTATGGTGAGGAGAATGATAAATATTATGTGCCTACAAGAAACTAAGTGGGTTGGTCTTAAGGCAAAGGATCTAGAAAACTCAGGGTTTAAACTTTGGTATTCGGGCACAAATAGAACGAGAAACGGTGTTGGCATCATTGTGGACAAGACCTTGACACAAGATGTTGTAGATGTCAAGAGGGTAGGAGATAGAATCATGGCAATCAAGATTGTAATAGGACAAGAACTCATCAATGTGATTAGTGCGTACGCACCTCAAGTAGGGTTGGATACGAGTTCGAATGAGAAATTTTGGGAAGACCTTGGAGACTTGGTGCAAGGAATTGCTCAGACGGAGAAGTTATTTATAGGAGGAGATTTAAATGGACACGTGGGCAGGGAGACAGGCAACTATGGAGGTTTTCATGGTGGCCATGGTTTTGGGGAGAGAAACGAGGATGGGGAAGCTATCTTGGATTTTGCAATGGCATATGATCTCTTCTTAGCCAACACCTTCTTTAAGAAGAGAGAAGAACATGTGATCACCTACAAGAGTGGGTCGTCAAAAACACAAAATAGATTTTCTTCTAATGAGGAAAGGGGATCGTATAACTTGTAAGGATTGCAAAGTTATACCGGGAGAGAGCTTGGCTAATCAACATCGCTTGTTGGTGATGGATGTACATATCAAAAGAGTGAGAAAAAAGAACAAGACTTGGAAGTGCCCAAGGACTAGATGGTGGAATCTAAAAGGAGAAAAAACAAGTCATTTTCAAAGAGAAAGTAATCACCCAGTGTGTGTGGGATAGAGAGGGGGAAGCTAGCCAAATGTGGGATTCCATGGCTAGCTTGTATCCGAAAAGTAGCAAAAGAGGTATTAGGAGAGTCCAAGGGCTTTGCTCCACACCAAAAGGAATCTTGGTGGTGGAATGAGGAGGTACAAACAAAGGTGAAGGCTAAGAAGGAATGTTGTAAAGCCTTATACAAGGATAGGACCGATGAAAATGGTGAAAGGTATAGAAGAGCGAAGCAAGAGGCGAAGAAAGCTGTGAGAGAAGCTAAGTTAGCGGCTTATGACGATATGTATAAGCGACTAGATACCAAAGAAGGAGAGTTGGATATCTATAAACTAGCTAGAGCAAGGGAAAAGAAGACAAGGGACCTAAACCAAGTGAGGTGCATCAAGGATGAGGATGGAAAGGTTCTTGCTACAGAGAACGCGGTCAAAGACAGATGGAGAGGTTATTTTCATAATCTTTTCAATGAAGGACATGAAAGGAGTACTTCTTTAGGGGAGTTGAGTAACTCAGAAGAGTGTAGAAACTACTCCTTTTATCGTCGAATCAGGAAGGAATAAGTGGTTGTAGCTTTGAAGAAGATGAAGCATAGAAAAGCAGTAGGGCCCAGACGATATATACCGATCGAAGTGTGGAAAGCCTTTGGGAGAGACAGGTATAACATGGCTCACTGACCTTTTCAATAGGATTTTGAAAACGAAGAAGATGCCAAACGAGTGGCGAAAGAGCACCTTTGGTGCCTATCTACAAGAATAAGGGCGACGTACAAAATTGCATGAACTATAGGGGTATTAAGCTAATGAGTCATACATGAAGCTCTGGGAGAGAGTCATACAATGAAGCTCTGGGAGAGAGTCATTGAGCATAGATTGAGGCAAGAGACACGGGTTTCGGACAACCAATTCGGGTTCATGCCAGGGCGCTCAACCATGGAGGCAATCTATCTCTTACGAAGATTGATGGAAAGATATAGAGATGGGAAAAAATGATTTACACATGGTCTTTATAGATTTGGAAAAAGCGTATGATAGGGTCCCAAGAGACATTCTTTGGAGGATTTTAGAGAAGAAAGGAGTACGAGTAGCATATATCCAAGCTATAAAGGATATGTATGAAGGAGCAAAGACTGCCGTAAGAACTCATGAAGGACAAACCGAAAGCTTTCCCATAACTGTAGGATTACATCAAGGCTCATCCTTAAGTCCTTACCTTTTTGCGTTGGTAATGGATGAGTTAACAGGACATATTCAAGATGATATTCCTTGGTGTATGCTTTTCGCAGACGATATAGTGTTGATAGATGAAACTCAGGAAGGGGTAAATGCAAAGCTTAACCTTTGGAGAGAAGTGTTGGAATCTAAAGGTCTTCGCCTAAGCCGATCAAAGACAGAATATATGGAGTGCAAGTTCAGTGCAAATGGAGGCCAAAATGAGTTAGGGGTGAGGATCGGAGATCAAGGAAATACCAAAGAGCGACCGTTTTCGTTACCTAGGATCTATCTTGCAAAAGAACGGAGAATTAGATGGAGATCTCAACCATAGAATACAAGCTGGATGGATGAAGTGGAAGAGTGCATCCGGCGTGTTGTGTGACCGTCCGTATGCCACTGAAGCTCAAGGGAAAATTTTATAGGACGGCAATAAGGCCGGCGATGCTGTATGGCACAGAATGTTGGGCGGTGAAGCATCAACACGTACACAAAATGGGTGTAGCGGAGATGAGGATGCTTCGTTGGATGTGTGGGCACACGAGAAAGGATAAGATTAGGAATGAGGATATCCGGGGTAAAGTAGGAGTAGCCGAAATTGAAGGAAAGATGAGAGAAAATCGGTTACGGTGTTTGGACATGTGCAAAGAAGGCCTACTGACGCTCCGATTAGAAGATGCGACTATGGGACAGAGGTTCAGGGCCGAAGGGGTAGAGGAAGACCTAGGAAAACTTTGGAAGAGACTCTAAGAAAAGACTTAGAGTACTTGGATCTAACGGAGGACATGACACAGGACGAGCACAATGGCGTTCTAAGATTCATATAGCCGATCCCACTCAGTGACTTGGATTTTTCCAAGTCTCCAACCGAGAAGTTTTCCTCACTCGGGAAATTAAGGGAACACTACCTCAACCTACATGCTCCACTCACAAAGCTTCAACATACAAGCTTCAACAAAAGAAAAATTCAAAGAACTTAGCGAAGAAGGCTTTGGTGTATTTAACACAATACGTTGAAATGAAGGAAAAGCTTATTTATTGATATCTCCCGAATAAGTTACAAATATGTACATATACATGAGTCAAAATAAACAAACAAGAGGGAGCCTTCACAAAGGTTGCTTAGGAGAAGTCTCAGCAGTCGGTAGAGCCCCAGAAAGAGAAGGCACCGGAGGGGATCATTCGGAGCCTCAGTACTGGACAGAACCCTAGAAGGAGGAGGCATCAGAGGTTGATCATTTGGAGCTTCATTACGCGGTACAGCCCCAGAAGACGAAGGCAATAAATGCCTTTGGAACAAACCCACAAACCTCTGATGATCAAGTAAAACCTGACCATCAGATTCCTTCATCTGGTCAAGCTTCCTCTTCATGTTTGTAGCATAGTCATGTGCGAGCCGGTGCAACTGTTTATTCTCATGCTTGAGCCCTCTAATCTCCTGTTTGAGACTCATCACTTCAGCCGCCAATGATTCAACTTGGCGGGTTCGAGCAAATAGGCGTTGGGCCATATTAGACACAGAACCTGCACACTGAACACTGAGAGCCAGAGAATCCTTAACAGCCAACTCATCAGACCGTTTGGAAAGTAGTCTGTTATCTTTGGGAGTGAGAAGGTTCCTGGCCACCACCGCAGCGGTCATATCATTCTTCATCACGGAATCCCCAACGGTAAGAGGACCAGTAGGGGATACGAAGGATGGGCGCCATATGTTGTCTGGAGAAGGCGTGGCTGCCTCTTCAACAAGGTTCAAGTCAAAACGACGGTCGGAGGGGCCAGACATTTTCAAAGGTGTTGAAGAGAGAAAGAGGTCGGACAAATCAAGATCTTAGAAATGCAAGAATGGAGCTTCTACTGGTGGAGATTCAAGTGTGCTTTGGAACTTAATGACCAGCCTCTATAAAAATCTGCACTCGACGGAGCTTCAGAAATCGAAGAGGCGCCTGCTCAGAAATCGAAGAGGCGTTTGCTTTCTCAAAAGCTGGGCTGCTCAGAGACCACGAGGGTCTGATCTCAGGAAATCGAAGAGGCGTTTGCTTTCTCAAAAGCTGGGCTGCTCAAAGACCACGAAGGCCGATCTCAGAAATCGAAGAGGCGCTTGCTTTCTCAAAAGCTGGGCTGCTCAGAGACCACGAGGGCCGATCTCAGAAATCGAAGAGGCACCTGCTTTTTCAGCCTTGTCAGCACCTGTCACATGCACACTCAACTTTGCGAAAATTACGGGCATTCTGTCGAAGATTTCTAGTGAAGTAGAAAGCACGTGAATGTTACTGTTCAATCACTTCACTTTCCACACGCAACATCAGCTCATGGGTACCACAGATAACTTTGCCAAAAATTCTCTGACAAAGTTTAGACACGTGAAGCTTGCAGCTCCCACTACATCGCTATGACCAAGAAG